TACCCCAATAAGGCCTTTTGCCAGACTCTGGAATGAATTCCTCTGCTGTGGGAGTGTGAGCTGCTAGGTGACACCAGCAGCTTGGAAAGGGAGGGATAAAGATAGACGGAGGACGAGGTGATGTAGAGGGTATGGAGGAGGGTGGGGGACAGAGGGGGGCGAGGAAGTGATACGAGAAGAATCTGGGGAAAAACCGAAGACATAACCTGAGAGGGAGATAAAGAGGGTGACTGATGAGAGGATCTATTTGAGTGTAAAGTAAGGGGAGAGGGCATGAGGAAGTTGCTGAAGATAGACTCTGAAGAGATACAAATCAAATCACATGCTCTTACTTTACCACTTTCTTTTAGTTGCCGTGAAATATATTTTACCTCCACATACAAGACAATGTGAGGCCTGACTGGTTAGCTTATAAAGGCATACAGTAGTGACAGCACCACACAGAAGCTGCTGCTGCTGTAAAACACACTTTAAATACTATATTTTGCCTGTAAGTCACAATTCAGAGAGGCAACACAAGTAACAGCTCATTCACCTTTACGGTTAAATATTGAGGATGGGACTACAATCATGGCTAGTTGACAGTGACCCACTGTTGCTGGCGAGCTAACATGCTAGTGGTAGTCAGTCACAACTGGTGTCCAAGCGTGTTGAATGACACACACACACACACACACACACACACACACACACTCTTGAGGACGCTAATAAAGAGGAAATCCAGTGGAAAAACACATTGGAGTACCGTACAGCATGGACACACAAGAATTTGTACAAGATACTTGCAGGGAAAGATTTCTGTTGTTGATTTTTGTTCCTACATTATAATAAAATTGCTAAATCAAACGGGTTTTCTTTGTGAAGGTGAATGCAACTCTCTTCACCTGACTTTGAGAGGTGAGGCACATTCCCAAAAAGGCTTTGTGACTAATGCAGCTGCAGCATAGCGTTTGTCTTTTAAGCAGAGGCGCATAAACACACACATACACACTCTGCAGGAGGGCTAGCCTGTCATCTTGTTGGCAATAAAGCGGGTCCCAGATGTCTGCCTCCCCCCCTGTTAGCAGACACACCAAGCTCACACTGTCACTCACCATGCCTTTGTTCTCAGTCAGTAGCATATTGCTTGTACACACTGTTCAGACTCAGCATACATAAATGTTGTCACAGACTCAGAGGGCAGAACTTTTGTATTGTACAAATTTTTCACAGACTAAAGTGGCCTGACATTCCATGCCATTACTGTGTCATAGCATCGGACTATATTCTCCTCATCCCTCTGTGGTAATCAGCCACACCTTCCAGAACTTTCTGCCTAATCAAACCATCTCTACAGGGTGATTTCTGTTGCTACGTGAGTGGGAGGGGAGGGCAGAAGATATTACACTGCTGTTTCATCAAACTCCAATGCAATTTGATGACATACGCTGCAATAGAATTTGAATAATATTAGCAGCGATTTCATTAGTAGAGTAAAAAGAGATTTATGCTGACGTCTTAAATCTCTTGATTCACATAAATGTTGTGAAGTTCATGATTTTGCCCGCCTTAAGGAAATGTAAGTCAAGTGAAGTATAAACTGACCCTTTAAAGAAAACATTTATGGCAATATAAATGTCAAAAATCATCTCACATGTTCCAACAGCAAATATTTATAATGTCAACATGATAAAGTTCATCCAATCGACTTTTCATTTCTGAGATGAATAACTGGTCAAAACATCTTGCTCAAATAAGTCATTGCAAAACCGTGTCCTGGGAGGATTGCAAATATCCTGTTAAATCTGGATCACGTGTGCTTTGTGTCATTGTTGGATGGTTCTGTATTCACTTCCCCCCCATAAGATGATATTTTTCTGCAGAGAAACCACGCTGGTCCCTACAGTCAGGCACAGCCTGGGAATCTTTGACCTGCTTCCATGGAGACCGAACGGGGAAGTTTAGCAGTAAGCAGCACAGAGAATATGCACCAAAAAAAAGGCTAAATAGGACTGATCTCTCTCGTTGTGTTTCATGCTGACGGATTTCAATAACTTAAAACTACAATACCCACACTCCCCAGCTGTTGAGGCCCTGTGCTTGCCAGTGTTTGGAGAGTCAAAGCCAGACTTCAACACAACCCCAGTCCCCACGCCCTCGGCTCCTGCTAAACCAGCTCTTCTCATTCCATCCTTTGTCTGCATGTCAAAATGAGCCAAATGTTTTTCTTTTCTCCGTCTGCTGCTAAGCAACCTGTGGGATTGAGAGTGCTGCAAAAGATTGCAGTCTTAATCCAAACTCTGCGTTTTGCAGAGTCAGCTGGTTCGGGGTGCAGCGTTATTGTGCTCATCGGTGCAACGGCAGAGTTAGCAAGGATTCTCTCAACATCTCAGGGGGGGAAAAAAAGTGCTAATGGTACCATCTGTCACATCCATATCACTTAAGAGGTGGAAGCACTGGCAGTTCCATTTGGAAACGGAACGGAGCGCGCAGAGTTTTATTCCAACTGTCCGAAAAACATCATGTGCATTTGGACGTGAAGCGATTGGCTTTGCTGATCAGGGCAGGCCACAGTCATTTTAAGGGGACGCAGCAAAGGGCTTATGAAATGTTCCGGTTACTCCGAAAATATGGAACTGCATCAACATTACCGACAGTCATCCAGCCCATCAGTGAGGCAGATTTTATTTAGTTTTAGCAGCAGAGCCGTGTCAGCTGCGTAGAAGGATAATGTGCTTATGGAACGTGACCTAAAATCTCTTTATACTCAAAGTGCAGTTTGCCGTCCCAAGAGAGGCAAATGTCCGTGAGGACTGAGAACTGCCGACTTGATCTCCTCTCCAGTCCCAATTCCAATCTGGGCCCCAGTGGGGCCACACCATGAGGGTTTAGGCTTGTGTCGCTCTTGCTGTATCACGTATAGTCTTAGATCCTCCTTCAGGTAAACAATGATATGCAAAATACACATCTCAACCATTGAATTTAAAGATTAATGTGTGCCTTTTGATTTTAAATTGTAAAGTCATCATTTCATTGTACCGAGTAAATAATGACACAGCTCACGGGGGGGGATATGATGCCAAGATAGGAAATCTTTTATTACAGAGAAAAAAAACTTTTCTTCCAAAATATAGAAATCTGTACAACTTCCGCACAATCAATTTACATGAACTGTACAAATTTACAGCAGTTCATCACAACATACCCAAGGAAAAGAAACTGAACACGATAAAGATGTACTGACATGAAATCACAAGATAGACAGCTTTTCTTCTTGGGTAAGCTCAGATTTTTTTGTCTATTTTCTGGTTTTGTACGTAAATAGAAAAAAAAGGAACAAACTGAAAAGAAAGTAAAGAAGAAAAAACAAAAACAAAAGGATACGTCTACACTTACAGATCATGGAAACTAATATTTTTTTTTTTTACCCAAACAACTTTGGTCCTTGCCAACACTCATCACAAATGGCTTCACTTACGAAAAGAGTTATCCATGTTAAAAGATGAAACACAAAAAGGAATAAATCTAAAAAACACCTACGGATAGCAATTATTGGCACTTCCCATGTGTAATGTTATGTACTCTACCATATGCCGTACAGTTACAATACATTCTACAATGTGTAAAACACCTCAAATGTGAAAGTGGCAATAATTCGACTAATCGATGACAATTTTGACGATGACAACGAAACTGCTGTTCACTTCCTGTTTCATGTCTTAACATGCACAACTTCTCCACAAGGGTATTTATTGAATGTCCGAGGCCTGAGTTTGGCAATACATTCCAGGAGAGACTCCTTGCGTCCCCAAACAAAATGTCACACAACTTCAACTCGACATATTTAGTGCATTTTATGTGCTATTTTACCTCCGACTACTCAAAGCACTCTCACGACAATGTAACCTATGTGCGCACAAGCTCAATGGATGCCATTTAAATAATCAATATTACTGAGGACTTAAACCATTTCCGGTGGTGGTATTACAGTTGAGAAGGTGTCGAAAGGGGATTTTGGTGATTTTTTTTGAATTTTTGTAGCTCTAAAAAAAATAAAAACAAGGTCTGTTAAAAGTGGGTTAGATCACCAGACTAAAAATCCTCTTAAAGAAGAGGATGAAGAGGAGAAAATGGGGATGGCGGAGTGGAAAGATGAGAAAATCTACCAGTGTGACCATAAAATACATCTAGAGAAAATTGAGTTGGGACGATCATCTCACGTCCGAAATACAGATCAATCTCAAAACATCTTGTCACATGACATAAAAGCTTTAATGGAGCAGTGTGATTTTAAAACTGGTGTCCACCACGGAAACCAAAGCCCTGGGATCCCATCCCAGCGAGCTCCTCTCCATCTAGCCAACATGGAATCGCTGCTTTTCACAGATTGCTGAAGGGAGTATCAACAGAGAGCAGGGGAGGGAGGGAGGGAGGGGGGGGGGGGGGGGGGGGGGGGGGGGGGG